CCTTTGATGTGAGGAGCAATGTGAGCCTACAAAAACAGGATTATAAAAATTGTGGTGTGTTTTAAATGTTTATGATTAACACATTAACACTTTTTAAACATAAAAGCACACAGGGATGGTATGATTAAATTTGTTTAGGTATAATGTCAATATTCTAAATTTAAGTGGATCCCAAAGAACCCTCTTACTTCCTCAGGGTAGCTCTGTCTTAGCCTTCGAAGGAAATTCTCTTTCTTTCTGAGTCCTGGATGATTGTATAATTGCAACAGCCACTAGCAATTTTAGGGATGGAGAGGAAAATTCCTCATTATTTCCCTACGTTTCCCTCCTCATCTTGTGTCTTAGTCCACCTGGTGTTGCTATAACAGAATGCCTGAGCCTAGGAGTTTACAAGGAAAGATGTTTACTTGGTGTACAATTCTGGTGGCTGGAAAGTTCCAGAGAGGGCATCTGCTGAGAGTCTCAGGCTGCCTCTACTGTGGTGGAAGGCAGAGGCCAGTCAGCAGGACAAGATGGCATGGTGAGAGAGGAAGGAAGGGGTGGGGGGGAGGTGCCACGGTCTTTCTAACAATCAGCTCTCCCCAGAACTAAGAATGAGACCTCACTGACTCCCAAAGGAGGACATTATTCTATTCATAAGGGATCCGCCCCCATGACTCAAACACCTCCCAGTGGGCCCCACCTCCAACACTGGGCATCAAATAGTAGCAGAGAGGTCACCAGGAAAGTTCCTGACTGTATCTCGACCATGGCATCAGCCTCCTAATCTAAACAGTAGGAACAGCAATCTCTGGTTACTGTTTCTGCCCCCGGTTTTTGTGCCACCCAACCCTGTAGATCAGAAATGAGGCTGGGCACGGTGGCTCATGCCTGTAAAACTAGTACTCTGGGAAGCCAAGGAGGAGAGTGGATTGATTGAGCTCAGGAGTTCCAGAACAGCCTGCACAAGAACAAGACTCCATCTCTAACAGAGAGGAGTTGTGGCAGGTGCTTGGGAGGCTGAGGCAAGAGGATTACTTTAGCCCAAGAGTTTGAGGTTGCTGTGAGCTATGATGTCACAGCACTCTACCCAGGGTGACAGAGTCAGACTGTCTCAAAAAAAAAAAGAAGAGAAATGAAGAGGAAGTTCTAATGAGCACTGAGAAGCTTCTATCAGAAGTGGGGGACTTTGGGCCAAAAGTCCACAAAAGTGACTGTCATAGGATAGAGAAGAAGGGACTAAATAGACTCAGACAGATGGGGGCTAAAAAGTTGTGCCGGATTTTGTGATAAGACAGAGATTACTGTGGAACCATAGACTGCTATTTTGGGGACATAGGATTCTTTTTTAAAAAACCTATAGGCCGGACACGGTGGCTCATACCTGTAATCCTACCACTCTAGGACACTGAGGTGGGTGGAACACCTGAGCTCACGGGTTCAAGACTAGCCTGAGCCAGAGCAAGACCCTGTCTCTAAAAATAGCCGGGCGTTGTGGTGGGCACCTGTAGTTCCAGCTGCTTGGGAGGTTAAGGCAAGAAAACTACTTGAACCCAAGAGTTTGTGGTTGCTGTGAGCTATGATGCCACGGCATTCTACCAAGGGCAGCAAAGTGAGACTCTGTCTCAAAAAAAAAAAAGGTTTATATATTTTCTGACTGTGTGTGGTGGGTTCACAGATTCAGATTACACAGTGACTCATGCCTGTAATCCTACAACTTTGGGAAGTCGAGGCAGGAGGATCCCTTGAACTCATTAGTTTGAGACCAGCCTGAGCAAAGTCAGACCCTGTTTCTACTAAAAATAGAAAAACTAGGTAGGTGTTGTGGTGAACACCTGTAGTTCCAGCTACTTGGGAAGTTGAGGCAGGAAGATTGCTTGAGCCCAGGAGTCTGAGGTTGCTGTGAACTATGATGACACCATTCTACTCTATAGCCTGGGCAGCAGAGTGAGACTTTGTTTTAAAAAAAAAAAAAAAGAAAACCCACAAAAACAAGCTATTTCTATTTTCTGTAATTAGGTCTCTTTTGTTCTGTCTATGGTAGTACATTTTTAAATGCTAGTCTGGTCAGCAGTGCTAAGAGGAAACAAGAAAGAGGTTTTTGTCCAGCTTGTCTCAAGTCTTAAAGCTTTACCAACCACCTGACCTGATGGAACAAGAGAGTGAGAGCCCCAAAGCCGTGGCATCATAGCCCACTGACCGCACTGCGCTGGGGACCCTGGCCGGCAGCTCCCTGCACCGGGATGTGCTTAGTAAGTCTGCTCTGCACCGCCCACCCCCAACCCCAGTCTGTTATTGCTACCAGACAAGATGCAAAAAGGGACCTCACTGAACAACGAGAAAAGTGTCCTGGGATTGGTGCCCCAAAGGCTAGAGGGGGCAGGTAACCGTGGAGTTTGCCTCCAGAATGGAGTCAGTAAACAGGAAATCTGATTTTGCTGTTAGGAGTGGGAGCAGGGGTTCAATCTGAGCATGAACCTCTGAATGCCAAGTTCTCAGGCAGGCAGATCATCATCTCTTTTTCTTGTTAGGTGAGGAAAAGGCACATAGTTGCAGCAGGACCGCAACCAATGTCTAGGAAGGAAACAAAAAGGCAGGAAGTATTTTGAGAGACGCCAGACTCCTGAGACAAGCTAATGGGCTGGCATGGCCCCTTAAGCAAACTGGGGCACAGGGCAGCACCAACGTAGATGACTGGAATCTAAAGCAGACATGGGAACACAACAGGTCTTGACCAGGGCAGGTTTGGGAGTAGGGAAAAGCTGCCAGTGGTGGGCATGTGAGGACTGGGCAGGATTCAGGCTTGCTAGCCACAGGCCTGGGCAGCTGAATCATCCTGAACCCTGCCAGGTGACATTCAGGCACAGGACTAGTTCTCTGGGGCTGCTGCTCAAAAACCTTTGGTATCTGCAGCTGCATAGAGCTGGGAGCAAGCAGTTATAGTCATGGCCAATGTCTCAGCCTCAGTCCCGCCCTCACTATCTGCTCCAATTATCCATAACTGAGTCACACACCACACCAGCACTTGGTGGATTAAAGCAACAACAATCTTTTATTTTGCATTTTGGGCAAGGCTCAGCAGGGACTATTCATCACTGCTCCATAATGCTTGGGACCCATGACTGGAAAGGGTAGGACAGCTAGGGGCTGGGAGGGCGCCTCCCCAGGCCTCTCCCACATTCTCTCCAGCATGGCAGTCTCAGGGGTAGCTGAACTCAGGGGTGGGTCGGGCCTTGGAGAGCAAGGATTTCCAGGGCCCCAGGCAGAAGTTGCAAGGCATTTATAGTCTAGCTTCAGAAGTTCTAGGATATGGTCATTTCCACCATATTCTATTGGTTTACCAAATTACTAAATCCAGCCCAAATTCAAAGGAAGAAGGTATAGATAGACCTTATCTCTCGATGGGAGGAGGGGCAGAGAATTTTCCACCATGACAGCATCTCACCAAGTCTTCAACAAGGCTTCCTCCTAACTGATTTGCTGTCCCCAGATTCTTGTTAGTGACAATAGGAAGGCAGCACAGAGCAGATAACCTGAGGATTTTGGAGGCCATCAGCCCTGTATCCCGGTCCACGCAGGATCTACACTGAGCAACTGGTTGAGCTTGTTATGCTACTTAATTCTCCCAACCTGGTTTTCCCCGAGTTAGGTGAGGATTATACCCTGCATCAGCCCAGCAAAGGTACTTTCCAGCTCTTCTAGTGTGGGGACCATGACCGGGGGGGACTAGCCTCCACTGTCAGCTCTGCTGGGATCTCTCCTCCCATCCCCTTTACCCAGGGGTTGGTGCAGAGGCGCTTCCTGCTGGGGCTCCCAGCCTCAGCCTGAGCACAGCAGGGACACTAAGACAGGTGTTTTTCTGAGAGATGCCAGGGTCAGACCCCCGCCCCTAAGGGCCTTCTTCTCATTTTAGACTAAACTGTAGAACCAGGTGCTCTACCCCATCCCCTTCCTTCACAAGATCACAAGGCTGGCTCCCTTCCGTTTTCCCTCAAAAATCTCTTGGCACAGTACGCCTGTCTGCCACTGGCTCAGAAGTACCGGGACAAACCCGACACACAGGGCTGCGGTGGGTGAGTAGGTGTGGAGCACCTGGTGAAGGCCTGGCTGTGCCTAGGCCTCCGCCCAGGTATACCGGGTAATTATAGTGAGCGAGGTAGACAGATACCTTTGAGCCACCTGCTTTAAGCTTCCTGCTTAATAGAATATAGTGGAAATGACCATATCCTGGCCTTTTAACGGGACACAAAAAGCTCTTCCAAGTCCAGCCCTCAGGGTCAGTGCTCTGGCCCCCACCCAGCTCACCTGAGCCCACGGTCAGCGCTTTGACCCCAGCCCAGCTCACTTGAACCCACGGTCAGCGCCCTGACCCCGCCCAGCTCACCTGAGCCCACGGTGCGAAGGGACTTCCTTCCTCCCGCAGTAGCTCTTTCCTCCCCAGTGCCCTTCCCCACCGTGTCCTTCGGTGCGACCCTCCTTCCTTTGTTTCTTGAACATCTCCCATTCTTGCACACAGCCCTTACGTGCCAAACTCTCACGTATCCCCCCAAACTCGGTTCAATCGAGGGGTCCTGGTTATCCCGGCAGACCGCGCTCGCAGGCGGAGGTCTCAGCGCACCTTGCGAAGCATGTGCTACATTTTGTCACGCTGGCTGCAACAGTGTCCCCACTTGGGGGCTTCTCTGTAGCAGGGGAACCTCTCTTCCATCCCGAATCCCCAGTGCGTGGCCCCGGGCGGACCCCCAGCACAAATCTGCGGAATGAGCGAGTCAGTGTGAGAACCGGGACAAGCCACCCCGGCGGAGTGGCCGCAGGGCCCGCGGCGGAGGGGTGGAGGCGGGGCGGCCGGGCCCCGCCCGGGTCCCGCAGCCGCAGCCGCAGCCGCAGCCGCTCGGGGCCTCCCTGGGCCGGGCGCGGAGGGCGTGGGCCGAATCGCGGCGGCTGCCGCAGGGCACATGACCGCGGCTGCAGCCTCCGCCCCGCCCGCGTCCCCGCGCAGTCGCCGGCCGTCGCCTTCCCGGGCTGCGGCGAGCCCGGCCCGCGAGCGTCACCGCCTGCGCGCTCCCTCCGCCCTCCGGAGCTGCGCCAGCGGAGGGAAACCGAAACCAAAGCCCGCGTCCTCCCTGCGCCGCCCGCTCACCGGGTGCCCGGGGTCCCGCTCTTCGGGCTGCTCCCGGGCGGCCTCGGCCGCGGCTCCTCCGCCCTTGCAGTTGGGGAGCCCGTAAGCGGCGCAGAATGGGCAGATGCTGCTTCTACATGGCGGGGACGTTGTCCCTGCTCCTCCTGGTGACCAGCGTCACGCTGCTGGTGGCCCGGGTCTTCCAGAAGGCCGTGGACCAGAGTATCGAGAAGGTGAGGTGGAGCGGGCTGTGTGTGCGAGTGCGACGGGGGAGGGTGACCTGTGCACCGCGGACCCTCCTCTCCTCGCTTCTGGGCGAGAGAGAAGAATGGGAAGAAGTGGAGACGGGTCTGTTCCTTTTATAAGAATAAAAATGATGGATCTTGACATCAGGCTTATGCTCTGTCGTTTCATCTCTCCACTTCCTCCATACACCGAATCTCTGCTGGGCCCAACCTCATTTCCCTCTTACTTCAGTGAAGAAAGGGAAGAGAATGAAAGGCTCCGCAGAAGGGGTAGGCTGTGCTGTCTGCTGCGGAGGCTTTGAAGTGGTGAGGGGCTGGGAAGGAGCGGTGCTGGGCTCTGAGCCCCAGGGCAGCTGTAGTCAGGCCAGGCTTCGGGCTGGGCAACACTTCATCTGGCCGGTCTGTGCTTGAGGCCGACTCAGACTCAGCGGCTTTGTGTCTTGTGCCCAGCGCTGCGCTGTCTCACCATGGATTCCTGTTCTCCCCACACCCACGGCTTTCAGGCACAGATGCATCCAGGGTTCTGCAAACACCTGAACCTGTCTCTCCCCAGATGACTGGCTGGGGAGCCAACCCTTTCAGAAAAGTTGCCCTCTTTTGACTTCATTGGTCATCCCTTCTGCCCTTTTACCCACATCCTCCAAGCTGTGCCAAAAGAGGAACAAGGGAAAGTTTAAAAAGAGAAAAATCACTGGAACAGCCTTTCTCGTGTTCACCCATCACCACGCACTTAATTTTTTCCACTGGTCAGCAATTGCTTTTGGCTAGATAAAAAAGCCCAGGCCTTATCCAGGGAGTAAAGCTCTCTTATTCCAGGGGGCAGTGGAAGTATTCCTCTAACTGAGGTTTCCAGAAGTAATTATTACTTGAAATGTGGCAGTAAAAGGCAAACTTTTAAAAAATCACATGGCAAAACATAATTTAAGTTTTAGCAAAGGCAAGACAAGGCCCATGGTGTGAGCGGCTCAAACATCACCACCTCCTCTGAGCAGTCACGTTCAAGGAAAAAGCAAACAACAACAAAAACCAAATGAATCCTTTCTCCACTTCTGTCCAAATCCAAATCCACGGCAAGACTTGTTTAAGGGTATCAGCTCTGGCTTTGGGTGACTAGATCTCAGCAATCCGATTACAGCCAATGTGTGAATGTCCTTGTGTGACAGAAGCCCTGTTTCAGGGAGCCTTAAAAGGGTGAGTGACTTTCCCGGTGCCCTTAGATTCCCTATGGGTCCCTATTTCACTGGGGCGGGGGCTGTGAGGCAGCTAGTCTGGGGCCTGGGTTTGTGGTGGTATTTCCAGTTGGTTTTTGGCATGTGGAAAAGACCCTGTTCTGAAAAGCACAGGGGAATAGACTTCCAACCCTGCCCAACTCTGTGAAGAAGCGTGAAATTGTCTGGTGTATGAAACAAAAAGTCAGGACTAGTTTCAGGTGGGCCCATTTGGGAATATCATTAAGTGAATAATGGTCATGTGTTACCATCCTGTGGGGTGGGAAGGTGGAAAGGTCACACTTCCAGGTAAACACCCCGGGGCATGCATCCTGGCTCCCCTCTCTACCAGCACAGGCTGGGGTTTTAATCTTCCTTGATTCATGGTTTCCCAGCAAAAACGTAAAGGGGTTAGTGACAACTGTTTATAGAAAGGTTATAAGGTTGGACAGTACCTGTGGCTCAAAGGAGTAGGGCACCAGCCCCATATGCTGGAGGTGGTGGGTTCAAGTCCAGCTCCAGCCAAAAAAAAAAAAAAAGGTTATAAGGCTTATTCAGGAAAATGGATATGCTTTTCCTAGAACATATTTAGTGCTTAATAAATAACAGCAATTTTATTTTTATTAGGATCCACATATACAAAAAAAAGTATATGGAATTTGAAGTCAAATTCCCTCTGTTCCAATCCTAGCTTTGCCATTTAATAAGCTTTTTGACTTTTGACAAGTTACCTCTCCCAGCCTTAATTTCATTGCTTACAAAAGGGATATAGCATAGCTGTCTAGGGCACGGGGCTGCGTTGCGGTGAAGCACATGGGGCAGAAGCGAGGGCTTCCTCATGTGTGCAGGCCCTGCCAAAGCCCTACACCTAATTCTGTATCCAAAGCGTTCTGTTTTCTTAGCAGGGCCCCTCCACAAAACCTGGACATGCCTCTATGTTCAGCAGTGGGACGAAGCATAAAGCACTTAGTATCAGACCTGGAATCGGTATCAGTATATGGTATTATTTCCATTAGCATTACTATGGAGCAATTCATTCATAATTTGACTTTAATAGAGTTGTAATATAATACACTCCGATACTCCCAGTTCTTAGTTTTTTCATTTGAAGGACAGTTGTGCCCTGGCTTTTATCTATTAAAAAGAGGAAAAATAAAAGGGATGGATTTTTTCTTTTTTTTTTTTTTTTTTGATACAGTCTCACTTGGTTGCCCTTGGTAGAGTGCTGTGGGATCACAGCTCACAGCAACCTCAAACTCTTGGGCTCAAGTCATCCCCTTGCCTCAGCCTCCCAAGCAGCTAGGACTACAGGCGCCTGCCCCAACACCTGGCTATTTTTAGAGATGGAGTTTTGCTTTTGCTCAGGTCTGGAACTCCTGAGCTCAGCAATCTACCTGCCTTGTCCTCCCAGAGTGCTGGGATTACAGGTATGAGCCACCTCCCCCTGCCCAGGATGAAATTTCAATGTGTAGGACAGGCTACTTGGGGGGAAGCTTAGTAAAATAATTTCTGTCAGAAGAATTTGACTCAAGAGATGGCTGTCCTTGAACCCTGCTATGATCAGTGGTAACTGGCCAATGACTGTAGTGGAAAGAGCCAAGTGGTTGGCTCCATTCTTGGCCTGGCTGGTGACTGCCTAATATGGGGCAAGCTCTGTGATTGCTTCTGCTTCACCTTTCTCATTTGTAAGAGAGGCAGAGTAGTCCCTTCCTTCTCTTCTGCCTATGCTCACTTCCTGGGGGATATTATAAATGTTAATAAAGTCTTCTCTGGAAAGCCTTTGGGCCTTCCCAAGGACAAAGCTTTGCAGGAACCAGCAGTCTGTCCCACCACCTCCCACCCCGAGTCTGGAAGGGCAGGAATCTATGTTGTATTTCCTGGCAGCTCAGCTCATCATCTTGGTACCTGGTATGGTGCCTGGTACACTGTAGGGACACACTAAATGCCTGTTGATAGACTTTCATTTTTTTTTTTTTTTTTTTTTTTTTGAGACAGAGTTCTATTCTGCTGTCTTGAGTAAAGTGCCATGGTGTCATCATAGCTCACAGCAACCTTATAATCTTAGGCT